TTCGCAGGCTAACACAGTCGGTGTACACTAGCATTGTAGGTGCAGGCTATCACTGTAGATGCAGGCTAGCACTGTAGGTGCAGACTAGCACTGTCGGTACAGGCTAGCGCTGTAGGTGAAGACTAGCACTGTAGGTTCAGGCTAGCAGTGAAGGTGCAGGCTAGCACGGTAGGTGCAGTGTAGCATTGTAGATGCAGGTTAGGAGTGTAGGTGCGGGCTAGAAGTGTAGGTGCGGGCTAGCAGTGTAGGTTCAGGCTAGCAGTGTAGGTGCAGATTAACACTTTAGGCAGGCTAGAAGTGTAGGTGCAGGCTAGCAGTGTGGGTGCAGACTAGCATTGTAGATGCAGGCTAGCAGTGTATGTGCAGGCTAGCAGTGTAGGTGCAGGCTAGCAGTGCAGGTGCAGGCTAGCAGTGCAGGTGCAGGCTAGCAGTGCAGGTGCAGGCTAGCAGTGCAGGTGCAGGCTAGCAGTGCAGGTGCAGGCTAGCAGTGCAGGTGCAGGCTAGCAGTGCAGGTGCAGGCTAGCAGTGCAGGTGCAGGCTAGCAGTGCAGGTGCAGGCTAGCAGTGCAGGTGCAGCCTAGCAGCGCAGGTGCAGGCTGGCAGTGCAGGTGCAGGCTAGCAGTGCAGGTGCAGGCTAGCAGTGCAGGTGCAGGCTAGCAGTGCAGGTGCAAGCTAGCAGTGTAGGTGCAGGCTGGCAGTGCAGGTGCAGGCTAGCAGTGCAGGTGCAGGCTAGCAGTGCAGATGCAGGCTAGCAGTGCAGGTGCAGGCTAGCAGTGTAGGTGCAGGCTAGCAGTGCAGGTGCAGGCTAGCAGTGCAGGTGCAGGCTAGCAGTGCAGGTTCAGGCTAGCAGTGCAGGTGCAGGCTAGCAGTGCAGGTGCAGGCTAGCAGTGCAGGTGCAGGCTAGCAGTGTAGGTGCAGGCTGGCAGTGCAGGTCCAGGCTAGCAGTGCAGGTGCAAGCTAGCAGTGCAGGTGCAGGCTAGCAGTGCAGGAGCAGGCTAGCAGTGTAGGTGCAGGTTAGCAGTGCAGGTGCAGGCTAGCAGTGCAGGTGCAGGCTAGCAGTGCAGGTGCAGGCTAGCAGTTTAGGTGCAGGCTAGCAGTGCAGGTGCAGGCCAGCAGTGCAGGTGCAGGCTAGCAGTGCAGGCTAGCAGTGCAGGAGCAGCCTAGCCGTGCAGGTGCAGGCTAGCAGTGCAGGTGCAGGCTAGCAGTGCAGGTGCAGGCTAGCAGTGTAGGTGCAGGCTGGCAGTGCAGGTGCAGGCTAGAAGTGCAGCTGCAGGCTAGCAGTGCAGCTGCAGGCTAGCAGTGCAGGTGCAGGCTAGCAGTGCAGGTGCAGGCTAGCAGTGCAGGTGCAGGCTAGCAGTGCAGGTGCAGGCTAGCAGTGCAGGTGCAGGCTAGCAGTGCAGGTGCAGGCTAGCAGTGTAGGTGCAGGCTAGCAGTGCAGGTGCAGGCTAGCAGTGCAGGTGCAGGCTAGCAGTGCAGGTGCAAGCCAGCAGTGCAGGTGCAGGCTAGCAGTGCAGGTGCAGGCCAGCAGTGCAGGTGCAGGCTAGCAGTGCAGGTGCAGTTTAGCAGTGCAGGTGCAGGCTAGCAGTGCAGGTGCAGGCTAGCAGTGCAGGTGCAGGCTAGCAGTGCAGGTGCAGGCTAGCAGTGCAGGTGCAGGCTAGCAGTGCAGGTGCTGGCTAGCAGTGCAGGTGCAGGTGCAGGCTAGCAGTGTAGGTGCAGGCTAGCAGTGCAGGTGCAGGCTAGCAGTGCAGGTGCTGGCTAGCAGTGCAGGTGCAGGTGCAGGCTAGTAGTGCAGGTGCAGGCTAGTAGTGCAGGTGCAGGCTAGCAGTGCAGGTGCAGGCTAGCAGTGCAGGTGCAGGCTAGCAGTGTAGGTGCAGGCTAGCAGTGCAGGTGCAGGCTAGCAGTGCAGGTGAAGGCTAGCAGTGTAGGTGCAGGCTAGCAGTGCAGGTGCAGGCTAGCAGTGCAGGTGCAGGCTAGCAGTGCAGGTGCAGGCTAGCAGTGCAGGTGCAGGCTAGCAGTGCAGGTGCAGGCTAGCAATGCAGGTGCAGGCTAGCAGTGCAGGTGCTGACTAGCAGTGTAGGTGCAGGCTAGCAGTGCAGGTGCAGGCTAGCAGTGCAGGTGCAGGCTAGCAGTGTAGGTGCAGGCTAGCAGTGCAGGTGCAGGCTAGCAGTACAGGTGCAGGCTAACAGTGTAGGTGCAGGCTAGCAGTGCAGGTGCAGGCTAGCAGTGTAGGTGCAGGCCAGCAGTGCAGGTGCAGGCTAGCAGTGCAGGTGCAGGCTAGCAGTGTAGGTGCAGGCTAGCAGTGCAGGTGCAGGCTAGCAGTGCAGGTGTAGGCTAGCAGTGCAGGTGCAGGCTTAGCAGTGCAGGTGCACGCTAGCAGTGCAGGTGCAGGCTAGCAGTGCAGGTGCAGGCTAGCAGTGTAGGTGCAGGCTAGCAGTGCAGGTGCAGGCTGCAGGCTAGCAGTGCAGGTGCAGGCTAGCAGTGCAGGTGCAGGCTAGCAGTGCAGGTGCAGGCTAGCAGTGCAGGTGCAGGCTAGCAGTGCAGGTGCAGCCTAGCAGTGCAGGTGCAGGCTAGCAGTGCAGGTGCAGGCTAGTAGTGCAGGTGAAGCCTAGCAGTGCAGGTGCAGCCTAGCAGTGCAGGTGCAGCCTAGCAGTGCAGGTGCAGGCTAGCAGTGCAGGTGCAGGCTAGCAGTGCAGGTGCAGCCTAGCAGTGCAGGTGCAGACTAGCAGTGCAGGTGCAGGCTAGCAGTGCAGGTGCAGCCTAGCAGTGCAGGTGCAGGCTAGCAGTGCAGGTGCAGGCTAGTAGTGCAGGTGCAGCCTAGCAGTGCAGGTGCAGCCTAGCAGTGCAGGTGCAGCCTAGCAGCGCAGGTGCAGTGCAGGTGCAGGCTAGCAGTGCAGGTGCAGGCTAGCAGTGCAGGTGCAGGCTAGCAGTGCAGGCTAGCAGTGCAGGTGCAGGCTAGCAGTGCAGGTGCAGGGTAGCAGTGCAGGTGCAGGCTAGCAGTGCAGGTGCAGGCTAGCAGCGCAGGTGCAGGCTAGCAGTGCAGGTGCAGGCTAGCAGTGCAGGTGCAGGCTATCAGTGCAGGTGCAGGCTAGCAGTGCAGGTGCTGGCTAGCAGTGCAGGTGCAGGTGCAGGTTAGCACAGCAGGTGCAGGCTAGCACAGTAGGTGCAGGCTAGCACAGCAGGTGCAGGCTAGCACAGCAGGTGCAGGCTAGCACAGCAGGTGCAGGCTAGCACAGCAGGTGCAGGCTAGCACAGCAGGTGCAGGCTAGCACAGCAGGTGCAGGCTAGCACAGCAGGTGCAGGCTAGCACAGCAGGTGCAGGCTAGCACAGCAGGTGCAGGCTAGCACCTGTGCAACTCTCAATGTCTTCAAAAAAATTTGAGCTGAAAAATATTATAAAAAGTTATTGAATTTGACTAACGAACGAAAAAAGAAAATAGCAATGAAATGATAATAATAATAATAATAATAATAATAATAATAATAATAATAATAATAATGATAATGATAATAATAATAATAATAATAATAATAATAATAATAATAATAATAATAATAATAATTATAATAATAATTATAATAATAATAATAATAATATTAACAATAATAATAATAATTATAATAATAATAATAATAATAATAATAATAATAATAATAATAATAATAATAATAATTTATAATGATAATAATAATAATAATGATACCTAACAACCTGTCGGTATTTTATACCATTTTAATGTTCAATAATAATAATGATAATAATAATGATAATAATAATAATAATAATAATAATTATTATAATAATAATAATATTAATAATAATAATAATTATAATAATAATTATAATAATAATAATGATAATAATGATAATAATAATAATAATAATAATAATAATAATAATAATAATAATAATGATAATAATAATAATAATATTAACAATAATAATAATAATTATAATAATAATGATGATGATATTAATAATAATAATAATAATAATAATGATAATAATAATAATAATTTAACAATAATAATAATAATATATAATAATATGTGATAATAATAATAATATATAATAATAATAAATAATAATAATAATAATAATAATAGATAATAATAATAATAATAATAATAATAATAAATATATAATAATATACAATAATAATAATAATTTAATAATAATATAATAATATAATAATAATTATAATAATAATAATAATAATAATAATAATAATAATAATAATAATATTAACATAATAATAATAATTATAATAATAATTATAATAATAATAATAATAATAATAATAATAATAATAATAATAATAAGAAGAAGAAGAAGAAGAAGAAGAAGAAGAAGAAGAAGAAGAAGAGAAGAAGAAGAAGAAGAAGAAGAAGAAGAATGCTTGGAGTACATTAATTTTTGCTATAAATTAGTAATTTCGGTGTGTTGTGAGAGAAGTGTTGTTGTTGTGCCTCACAAAGACACTTCAGGTGTCACCCGACCTGTTATGCGCGGTCTTAACAACCCTAGTGTGCTGTAGTCCATTGAATTTAACCACCCTCCCCTTTCCCCTCCGTTTCCCCTCCCACTTCCTCTCTCCCTCCCCTCCCCTCCCACCTCCCCCACTCCTTCCATTGACCCCTCTCCCTCCCCCCTTTAGCAAGCATAACCTAGACAAGTGTACCTAGGGCCTACGAAGGTCTTAAAACTATCCTGGGTGAGCAGAGTGTAGTAGTTGCGAGTGGCTAGGTTGAGGCAAGTGCTGCAGAGTATACGTCCAGGAAGACCTTAGTATACGTGATAGAGGTACCTAGGCTGAATTTACTTCAGAGGAAGATCCAACAAATGTCTAGTAAAATTCTGGTGTCTGTTTACCTGCTATGTCAGTAGGTGCAGCAGGCCACATCAGTCATTCTCACGGTTAAACATGGTTGCTGCTACAATAATGACAGTCTGATACTAATAAATAGTGAAAAATATATGTTTTCCCCTTTCTTCACCATCAGGTCAAACAGAATACGCTCGAGCGACGATCAAGTGGGCCACAGACTTCCTGCTCAAGTGCCACACTGGACCTTACGAATTTTATGGACAGGTATAATGATGGAATCGTTATTTTTTTTGTCATATATTTTATATATATATAATATATATATATATATATATATATATATATATATATATATATATATATATATATATATATATATATATATATATATATGTACATATATGTAAATATTAAGCATAAAGTATGTATATGGAATTTTTCGAGTGTAGACTGTTGAAAGATGTCCTGGGATGTAGAACTAAATGGTTCAGATATGTTGATGACATCTTGTGTCTTTGGCCAGATAATATGGCCCTGGATACATTTTTACTAAGAGTTAACCATTTAGTCCCGTCTTTTCAATTCACTGTGGAAAAAGAGGTGGACCGTAAACTTCCATTCTTAGAAATGTTGATACACCGGGTTGATAGAAAGTTTAACGTTTACAGTATATAGGAAGGCCACCAATGTGTGCTCATACGTCCACTACTGTTCCAACCATGAGACTAAAGTCAAAAGGAGTGTATTTCTTATTATGTTTTTGAGAGCCTATATAGTGTGCAGTCAGGAGTTCCTAGATGAAGAAATTAAGAAAATATCTGACATTGGCACGAAACTGCGATATCCAAAAGTGCTTATGGAATGTGTCTTGCTGGCAGCTAAGAAAACTTATTATAGGACAGAACCTAGGATAACACCTCAGATCAAGAATGTGCTGGTCCTCCCATATAACAAGAACTTATCTATCCTGACGAAGGCTCTTGAAAGATTTAATGTACAAGTAGTTGTTAAAAATTCACGGACTGTTAGAAGCATCCTGATAAAGAATGCACCACAACAACGTGTTGGTGGTGTCTACAGAGTTGGTTTGTAATGGTTGCAGCCTCTCCTGTTTGGGACAAACGGGAAAGTGAGAATGTGAGGTGAGAATGTCCCAACACCGTTATTCGATACTTATAGCACAGGAGTCGAACGTGATTTTCAACCATATTAGAGCTTGTAATAACCCGGCAAACTAGTGGGAAGCAAGAGTCCTCTTCCCTTGTTCCTCCTGGCTTTGTAGAATCGGCAGTTATTAAGCATGATAGGCAGTCATTATACAATATCAGTGATGGGCTGTTCAAATTAGATGCATTTTTAGTTGAGGTAATAGTACACAGTTGAAAATTGGGATCCTATACGAATGCATCAGACTGTCTTAAATGTAGTGCCACACCGAGGAATTAGGGCCTATATTTTCTCCTGCAGTTTCTGAAGGTTGAGTCAGAGTTTGCCTCAGAATTATGTGGGATGAATATCTGTGGCCGGCTTTCCTGTTATTGCCGATGTCTCCCCCTTTAATGAATTTATTTTAATGAGCCCGTTCTCCTTTACATAACATTATATGGTACCATTTTCTCTTGTAATTTAAAAGGACACGTTGTCCCGTGGAGGATTTAATTGCCACGTTAGTTTCGTTTAGGCTATTACAGTATCAATGCTTGTGGGATTTTTTCTAATGCTATAATATTCATTTTTCTGGCTATGGACACTGTTGTGCCTGGGGGCACTTCCGGTTCCCTCTCCTTTCTCCCTCCCTTACTTCCTCACTCCAGTAATGGCGGTCCTCTGGGAACGTTATTTGCTTCGACACCCTCCTCTTTTCTGCAATTTTGCAAGCTCCTGATGATGTGTTGATTGCAACACGAAAGGCCTAGAGCTATCATTCTACTCCCCCCGTGGTTAATTTGCAAACACACACACACACACATCAACCAAATAACTGCTGCAGCATATGGACGCCTAGCAAACCTCAGAACAGCATTCCGACATCTTAATAAGGAATCGTTCAGGATCCTATACACCGTGTATGTTAGGCCCATATTGGAGTATGCGGCACCAGTTTGGAACCCACACCTAGCCAAGTACGTAAAGAAACTAGAGAAAGTGCAATGGTTTGAAACAAGACTAGTCTCATAGCTAAGAGATATGTCCTACAAGGAGAGGTTAAGGGAAATCAACCTGACGACACTGTAGGACAGGAGAGATAAGGGGCACATGATAACGACATATAAAATACTGAGAGGAATTGACAAGGCGGACAAAGACAGGATGTTCCAGAGATGGGACACAGCAACAAGGGGACACAATTGGAAGTTGAAGACACAGATGAATCACAGGGATGTTAGGAAGTGTTTCTTCAGCCACAGAGTAGTCAGGAAGTGGAATAGTTTGGGAAGCGATGTAGGGGAGGCAGGATCCATACATAGCTTTAAGCAGAGGTATGATAAAGCTCACGGTTCAGGGAGAGTGACCTAGTAGCGACCAGTGAAGAGGCGGGGCCAGGAGCTTGGACTCGACCCCTGCAACCTCAACTAGGTAAGTACACACACACACACACACACACACACACATATATATATATATATATATATATATATATATATATATATATATATATATATATATTAATATATTATATATATATATATATATATAAAATATATATATATATATATATATATATATATATATATATATATATATATAATAATATATATATATATATATATACATGTATATATATATAGGTAGAAAGTTGAAAGTGAACACAGATAAGAGTAAGGTGATGAGGGTATTAAACGATTTTGATGAAAAATTGGATATCACATTGGAGGGAGGGAGTATGGCAGCAGTGAATGTTTTCAGATATTTGGGAGTTGACTTGTCAGTGGATGGGTTTGTGAAGGATGAGGTTAACCAGAGAACTTATGAAGGAAAAAAAGTGAGTGGCACATTGTGGTATCTGTGGAGACAAAGAACGTTATCTATGGAGGCAAAGAAGGGAATGTACGAGAGTATAGTGATACCAACACTCTTATATGGATCTGGAGCTTGGGTTGTAAATGCTGCAGCGAGGAGAAGGCTGAAAGCAGTGGAGATGTCGTGTCTAAGGGCAATGTGTGGTTTACCTGGAGTTTACCTGGAGAGAGTTCCGGGGGTCAACGCCCCCGCGGCCCGGTCTGTGACCAGGCCTCCTTAGGTCAGTGTCCCAGGATGCGACCCACACCAGTCGACTAACACCCAGGTACCCATTTTACTGATGGGGAACATAGACAACAGGTTGAAAGAAACACGTCCAATGTTTCTACTCTGGCTGGGAATCGAACCCAGGCCCTCGCCGTGTGAAGCGAGAGCGTTAACCACCAGGCCACCAGAGCCCCATTATGCCGAGAATTCGTAGTGTGGAAATTAGGAGGAGGTGTGGAGTTACTAAAAGTATTAGTCAGATGGCTGAAGAGGGGTTGTTGAGGTGGTTTGGTCATTTAGAGTGAATGGAACAAAGTAGAATGAATTAGAGAGTGTATAAATCTGTAGGGGAAGGAAGGTGGGGTAGGGGTGGTCCTTGAAAAGGTTGGAGGGAGTGTGTAAAGGAGGTTTTGTGGGCAAGGGGCTTGGACTTCCAGCAAGCATGCGTGAGCGAGTTAGGAGTGAATGGAGTTGAATGGTTTTTGGGACCTGACGAGCTGTTGGAGTGTGAGCAGGGTAATATTTTGTGAAGGGATTCAGGGAAATCTGTTAGCCGGGCTTGAGTCCTGGAAATGGGAAGTACAATGCCTGCACTTTAAAAGAGGGGTGTGGGACATTGGCAGTTTAAAGTGACTATCTAAACTGTCGTATCTGGACGCCTCTGCAAAGACAGTGATTATGTATGAGTGATGGTGAAAGTGTTGACTTTATATTACTGGAGAGGGCACAATAATATAAAATACTACTCGTTGCACTAGTACACCAAACAGGGACCAGAATAACATTAGCCTAGAGTCATCCACACCATCGTGTGTCCTTGGGTAGCGAGTACAACATCCTAGTTCCGCTGGATGCGCTACTCTTTTGGATTGTACATATGGTCTAGTGGATTAAGGCGTCATGAGTTTTCGCCTACCATTAGGCAGGCCAAAGCAGCATGGGTTCGAGTCCTTCGCTAGTCGCAGTGTTTTTATTGATCAATAAAACTCGTTCGTGGGCACAATAATAAATATATATATTACTAGGTTGGTAGATAACAACCACCCAGGGAGGTACTACCGTCCTGTGGTAGTAGGCTGGTAGATAACAACCACCCAGGGAGGTACTACCGTCCTGTGGTAGTAGGCTGGTAGATAACAACCACCCAGGGAGGTACTACCGTCCTGTGGTAGTAGGCTGGTAGATAACAACCACCCAGGGAGGTACTACCGTCCTGTGGTAGTAGGCTGGAAGATAACCACCCAGGGAGGTACTACCGTCCTGTGGTAGTAGGCTGGTAGATAACAACCACCCAGGGAGGTACTACCGTCCTGTGGTAGCAGGCTGGTAGATAACAACCACCCAGGAGGTACTACCGTCCTGTGTAGTAGGCTGGTAGATAACAACCACCCAGGGAGGTGCTACCGTCCTGTGGTAGTAGGCTGGTAGATAACAACCACCCAGGGAGGTACTACCGTCCTGTGGTAGTAGGTTGGTAGATAACAACCACCCAGGGAGGTACTACCGTCCTGTGGTAGTAGGCTGGTAGATAACAACCACCCAGGGAGGTGCTACCGTCCTGTGGTAGTAGGCTGGTAGATAACAACCCCCAGGGAGGTATACCGTCCTGTGGTAAGAGGTTTGGTAGATAACAACCACCCAGGGAGGTACTACCGTCCTGTGGTAGTAGGCTGGTAGATAACAACCACCCAGGGAGGTACTACCGTCCTGTGGTAGTAGGCTGGTAGATAACAACCACCCAGGGAGGTACTACCGTCCTGTAGTAGTAGGCTGGTAGATAACAACCACCCAGGGAGGTACTACCGTCCTGTGGTAGCAGGTTGGTAGACAGCAACCGCCCAGGGAGGTGCTACCGTCCTGTGGAAGCAGGTTCCTAGACAGCAACCGCCCAGGGAGGTACTACCGTCCTGTGGTAGTAGGTTGGTAGACAGCAACCATCCAGGGAGGTAATACCGTCCTGTGGAAATAGGTTGGTAGACAGCAACCGCCCAGGGAGGTACTACCGTCCTGTGTTAGTAGGTTGGTAGACAGCAACT